TGAGCTCTTATCGTAAAAATGAAGATAGATTAGCAAGATGAACATGCCAGTCTGATTAAAAGTAAGTCTAATGAAGCTAACAAAGTTGAATCGCAGCGATCAAATTTCTTCAAACTCATATAGATGTCACAGATTTTTATGTTGAGCTCGCAAATAACAGTTTCAGCAAAATAAAACAATCTTTGATTTTCAAGAGAAATCACTATTTTTTTGCTTTTTGCTGAAATTTTTGTTTCTTCCTAAATTTCTTACTTTAAAACACGATCTAAAAAAGTTTTAAAAAAAATATTCGTAACCATCGTCGTGAACTCTATCCATTCATGTATAATTCAAGGAAATCTAATTTTTCCTCGACTTTTGGATTAGCGCCACCTTACATAAAACATAATAAATCTATTCTAATTAAAGAGTTTATCAACATTTTAAGTGTTTTGACATAGCTCAGTAAACCAACAAAACGAAACAATCGATATGTCATAATTCCCAAAATAAATAACTCCATATTAAAAAGTTGTTTTTTGATGAATTTTGCGCTTTTTTTTTTACATATGTGTAAATAAATTTAAAGCATCATTGTTCTTGTCTCTTTTGAAATGTACTGAATGATTTTTAATGAAAATATCTATAGTTGAAATAAGCCTATATATACCATACGTATAATAATAAAAAATGATGTGCATTCAAAACAAACTAACATAGATAGATATCTTTTGATTGTTTTATCATAGACAATGATCGCTATGATTCAGCTGATTTTCTATCTATTTTATCATACGATGATTCAAATAAAACGAATCTATATTTTAAACCCTCGATTGAATATTTATCATGTGTCTATATATTATATATATTCATAGACTATAAGAAGAAGAATAAGGAAAAGAAATAAACACATTTACATTTACTTTACATACAAGATTACATTCGAGTTTAAAAATGCCTTCAAAGAAAGAAAAACATCATCAAATTTTAACTGGTGTTCAATCAGAGATAACACCTCTTGCTAATAGTACAAATACAACATCAAAAACAAATGAAAATGTTTTACTTACAAATACTTATTCTAATATGACAACAATAACAAAAAAAACAAATTTGATTAATGATTCAATAAATAGTTTAGATCATTTAACACTTATTCGTGATCAAAAAAATGAACTTGATGAATTAAACAATCGTTTTTCAAATTATGTTATTGCATTACGTAAAAAAACTAAAGAAAATGATGATTTACAAAAAAAAGTTGATATAGAAAAACAAAAACAAAGTAAAATTTTCAAAAAAAAATTTTTCAAAAATTTTTTTGTTTTGTTTTTTCTTATTTAGAAAATTTAGCAAGTCAAGATAATCATGATCTTGAAGTACAAATGAATGAATTACGTCGTGAAATGGATGAATCAGCTGTATTAACTGAACATTTTATGCTTAAACGTGATCAAGCATTAAAAGAATTAGCTTTACTTAAAGATAAAATTCGTAGTGAAGAAGATCATTCATACGCAAAACGTTGTCAAACATTAGAAAATGAATATCAACAAACATTAATACAATTAAAAGAATTAACAAGTCATTATGAAGATTTAGAAAAAATATCTCAAGCAAATAAAAATGAAATGAATCAAATGAAGGATTTATATAAAAAACTTGAAGATGAATTACATGATCTTATATTAAATAATATTCGACTTCAATGTAATCTTCGTACTATAGAAGAACAAACTTTATTAAAAAAAGCAATTTATGAAACTGAAAAAGCTGAACTGAGTAAGAAATTTTTCTATATACGATTACCTTATCCTAAGAAATTTTGATTTCACTTTCCCTTAGTTCTTTCCTAGTTGGAAGGCTCTAAAAATGATAAATAGCAAAATAGTATCACGTTAAAGATGTGCACGGTAAGCTTTTCTTGTACCCTGTATCTTGACCGAAAGAAATTTTCTTACATTTACCTTGCACATTTCTAATCGAAAACTATTTAGCATTATTAGTAGATAGGCAAAATCAGAATTCTATTCTTCAGAATCTTATTATCGATATGTATGAAATAATTGTTAAAACCATAAAAAAGTTATTGTTTTTTCTTTGTTCGGAACGAATTTATAATATTTTATTGATCAAGATCTAGAGAATTCTAACTGTCAATTTATTGTGACTAGGTCCGATACCGAAAGTTTTTATTTATCATTTTCAGACTTGCAATTTTTACTTCTTGACATCCGACTGGATTTTTTCAGAGAAGTTGCTAATCTAAAAGTTTCCATTAATCTTATCCGGATTTAACTTAGAGCCTACACTGACAAACTAATAAATTCAAAATGTAGACTGCATTTGCCGCGCATGGATCGAGATATTTGAATTCTACAGGCCTTACAGTATATGTAAGCGGCTTACAATTTAAAATTTTAGCATAGTTTATTTTGTGATGGTTGAATAGAGTTGATCGAATTGCATAAGAAAATATGTTTCAGATAAAGAAATCGTCCAAGATACCATCGTCTTCAAATACAAGGAAAAATAGATCGCAAATGCTACCTTTTGTAAAAAAAAAGTTTTGTTTTTACTTAAAACTCTACCGAAATTTTGAGTTGCAAGCATCTGATAAATACTGTAAAATTCGAATATTTCGATTCATGCGTGTCAAGAGTAATCGATATTTTAAATTTATTAGTTTGGTAGTAGAAATCTTAATTTGATTGGAATATGTCTAGTCTTATTAATTAACAACACAAACACTTCCACAAGTTCATAGAATTCTTACTCGATATGTTCTTTAAATGAAAATTAAATATTTTTATTGGTTCTAGCTAATGAACAAATTAAACAAAAACAATTTTATACAAATGAATTGGATAAAGCTATTGAAGATATTAAACATGATTTTCAAATATTATTAAAAAATAATAAAGCTGTACTTGAAAATTCTTATACAGAACGTATTGAACAAATAAAAACACAAATATTAACATATGAAGCAAATAAACAACAAGAAATATCATCAACATCTCGAATATCAATTGAAACATTACATGATGAACTTAAACAAACTGAAAATATTCGTCAAAATATTGAAAATGAATATCAATCATTAATTAATTTTTATATAGCAAAACAAAAAGAAAAAAATCAAATTGATGAAGAACGTATTCGTCTTGATAATGAATATAATCGTTTAATAAATGAAATAAATCATTTAACAGGAGCAATTGAAATTGAAAAACAATATTGGTTTTCTGTACATTTTGAATTAGAAACATATAGAAAATTATTAGATTTAGAAACAACAAAATCATTATCTAGTAATAATTATTATTATACATCACTACCAAATGGTAAACAAGAAAATAGTCCTGTTGAAGAACAACAACAAGAACAACAACAACAAATAATTACAGTCAAAAAAAATGATAGACAACGTGCTATATCAAAAACTGGTGAGATGAAAATAACAAATGAAGAAGGTTCAATATTCATATGTAATATTATTTTAGGTAAATTTGATATTGATCAAGTTCAAGCAGGTTTTATTTCAATAAATAATGCTTCAACAAATTGTGCTGATCAACCACTTAAAGGATGGACACTTGTTCGTAGTATAAATAATGGACCAGAAAGTGTTTATCAATTTCCTGATTCATATATACTTCGAGCAAGAACACGTGTACGTGTTTATTCTAATAAAGCTGAAAATATTGGAAATAGTACAATACATGGTCGTCTAATTGCATCATCAATTCCAGCATGGGCTAGTGCAGTTCAAGGTGATAATGTGACAATATTACTTCTTGATGAAAAAGGTATTAATAGAGCTCAATACAGTGAAACATGGCAATAAATAAACATTTTATAACAGAAAAGACCTAAATAGATTATTTTTTAAAGTTGTTTTGTTTGTTAGTTTTTTTTCTTCTTTCGTTTTTGTTTTGTTTTGTT